AAGAAAACAACCAAGCTCAGAGAACCCCAAGGACTCCACAGTTCAACCCTGAGCTACACATCTTCGCTTCTATTAGAGTTTCATTCTGGATCTTACAAACCAATAATCTGCCATGATGCCAACCTGTAATTGGCTGAGAAGACTTTTGTAGAGATGCTGTAAAGCCATCAATGATTCTACACTGAAGAAGCTATTAGCGCATGCCTCCAAAGAACTGCGTTGCCTTGTTAGTTCATTTAAGAGAGACGTTAGGCCTTCGGTTTCTTTCAGAAGTGCAGAATAATTATTTAACTGATTTTGCATTTCCTGTGAACTGAGATGAAGATCAACATTTAATTCTTGCTTCTGCTTTCCTACTTCATAAAACACTGTTTTGGTGCCATCTTCTGTCTGCTTCACTTGTTCCGTTTGATGCTGGAGTTGTTCCTGGGCCCTATGGTAGAAAAAAAATCAGTATCAGTTTAACAACTTATCACTGAAGATAAAGGAAAGACTTGTCCTGGCATCATCAAGAATTACAAATGTAATACTGAAAAGCAAAAGGTTCATGTTTGTCATAAGAACAGTGTGGAATGCTAAATATGTCGATAGACAGATCTACGGCCTTAAAATAAATTTAATCATTATCTTTGGCGGGCTCTGCCTGCTTTACTAGATCTTTTTGTAATTGATCTTGTTCTTTTTAAAATTAATTTAATTTTTATTGATTTTAACTGTCATTAGCTGCCTTGAATAATCCATAGGCAGTAAAGAGATGAGCTGTATTTTAATACAAATGAAGAGAACATTTATTTATAGACCTTTTTCTACAATGATTAGTTAAAAGCTTGCTGCTACCAAAAATCATCAGTTTGCCATCTATTTCAGCAACGTTATCTGGAGTGGAGAGTTTCTGGAGGCCATTAATACTGGATGATGCTAGTATAGAATGACTGCTGCATTTTCAACTCAGTGGAAGCTTTCATGGTATAATATAGGCTACCTACCTCAGACTGTCAGTAACCAGATGAATGGTGCAGTCCCACTTCTTTTGGACATCAGAAACTATCTGCTGAATAGTTAGGTTCTTGCTCTTATCATCACACTTCAAATTTTCTCCAACAGCTGTGATAGTTTGCAATTTAGCACTGCCCTCCTCTTTCAGCAAAGCAATCTCCTGTAATGTAAGAAACAGCATGAAGACAACTGATTTTACTGCCTTTGATCTATCACCAAGATCAAATAATATGGTATAACTATCAAGAGAATAGTTGTTTCCCTTTAATTAACTGTGATTCCAATTAAACCTCATACAATTATAGTTAATAAATTGATTCCAGCTCTTTTGTTAACTGCCTAAATATTGGAAGAGATTCCCAATAATTGGAGAGAGGAGAAATGGAAGGAAATAACTAGGCACTTAAACCAATAAGGAAAGAATTCCAGACAATTTTTTTTATTGTTGGTAGCAGCATTTAGCCAGTGCATTTGCCCAGATATTTTTCATAACTTTACAGCATGCCCCTTGTAATTTAAAAGTGAATGCTCTTTCAGATGACATTTGCATCAGTTCACAAACTCTGTATCATTATGCTACAATTCTACATCATAATGCTATGTGAATTCACAAATGAAATGCCCAGTTTATATCTTCAGTGTGTGTGATATACTTTCTAGCAAGCCAGATAATTAGAGGTCCCAGCTTGCACAGAATAATGTGAGCATGTTGGGATAAAAGTGAACTTTAGTTACACTTGTGGCACCCTGGACAAAATGTGAATGAATTAATAGCCTTTATTGAAGTCACTGACCAGTACAACATATAGTTTTACAACTAAAATGAAAAATCCCAAATAAAAAATACAGAAAGAGGTTCTTTAAAATTACAATACATAAAGTACAAAGCATATGCTAATAGTAAGATGATAAAGAGAAGACACCCAAAGGAAAACAGGAAGTAAAATAGTTATATCCAATTTATAAGTTATTATGCTACTTCATATTACTCACTGTTAAATACTTGAAAGCCTAATGTAAAGATCCCAAAAAGATGATCTATTAGTTCAATAAAATACTAAACCTATAAAGTGCCTTAATATAATACTGAAATACTATAATATTACTTTGCTATGGCACTAATTGAATTTGTGCTACTAAAATTTAAGGGTTCTGAAACACTGACTGTTTATGATGAAAATACTGAGAGAATAAGGGGTTCAGAATGTGGGAAAGACCATTAATTGGTAGTGCCAAGACAAGATCTTGGGGGAAAAAGATGAATATTGAAGAAAAATGCTGACCCATAAGATCTGACAGAGGGGGCATGCTCTTGGTCTCATCTATTAAACAATGCCATCTGATGGGACTTAGAAAGCATAGCTTCTCTGTTGTGGTGCTTGCCCTCTGGAATAGCATCATTCTGGAGGTTTGCACAGCCCTGACCCTGCTATCCTTTGAATGAGCCTGGAAGACCTAGTCTTTCCCCAGGTTCTGGATTAGGTTGGGTACACACCTACTTGAACTAGATTATGCTTATTAAGTTTGTGCTATCTCTGTTCCCTCTAGCTATGGACATATTTCAAAATGGTTTAATACACTGGGTTTTGTTTTGAATCTTTTGGCCACCAAGAGTCACTGTGAGCTGAGTGGCCTTAATGAACTTATTAATAAACAAAGAACATTAAAAAAAAATAAAAGGAAAGTAGGAAGGTATGAGTGTTCTAAGAGAATAGATTAATCTTGGAGAGAATTAATGGAAAGTGGACATCACAAAATAAAATATGGAAGTTGCTTGGAACAGAATAAAAAGAATTATATTGCACAGTGCATTACAAGTGGTAGTGGAAAGTACTGAAAAGGATGCATGGCAGAATGATGATATAGATGAAAGAAAAAACATACATGTAAGAGAATGATTGCTGCAGGGATAAGGATAAAAAAAGATATTGTATAGTGGGTATATAACAGAAAGATAGTTTTCTGTTTAACATCTACATGAAGCTGCTGGGAGAGGTTATCCATTGGTTTGGGATTCAGTATCATCACATTTTGGCTTTGGGCTAGCCAGGTGATGCTGTCAAGATCTTGTGCCAGTGTCTGGAGGTTGTTTGGCCTTCAATGGGGAATAACAGGCTTTGACAAAACTGAATGGCTGTGACTGTTTTGACTCTCTAAACCTGGAGTGGGTCCATCTTTGGTCCTGAATGTGACTGTATTTCCCTTTTCAGGACTGGCATGCAAATTAAGGATATTCTTGGACTCAAGCCCTCCTTCAAGGAGCAGATGGCAACTATGGTCAAGGGAGCCTTTGCACAAATTTATCTAGTGTACCTGTTACGCTTACATGCCCACATAACACCTCTACTTCATGGGCTGCCCTGGTTGCCAATAGACTTCAGGGTGTAACTCAAGGTGCTGGTTATCCCCTATACAGAGTCACTTCTGGTGAGATGAGTGGCTATATAAATTTGATTAATAAATTAAATAACTAAATAAAGATACAGAGTTTGGTTATTTGAGGTCCGCTTATCCTGTAGTTTTTGCCTGTCCTATACATGCTGTGGGTCCCATCAATTAAACCATATCAACTGGTGGGACCTAGGAAGAAAGCTTCTCTGTCATAATGCAGGCCTGCTAGAACACCATTCCACCTGAAATTCATATGCCACCCCCCAACTGGCCCTTTTTAAGCAGGCATTTAAAACCTGGCTCTACCCCAAGCCTCAGTTAGAATGGGTAGAATATTTCAGTTGTTTAACTGATTGGAATCTGGAATATTTCAGTTGTTTAACTGATTGCTGCTTTCTCCAGACTTTCTTTGTGGCTTATATTTTTTTAAATTTTAAAATATTAATTTAATATAATTGTATTGTTTTGTACTGTTGTACTGTACTCTTACTATCCTGTAAGCCACCCCTAGTCATACGAATTAGGGCAGCCTATAAATTTAACAAACAAACAATAATTGCAAACAGAACATGGAATGGTTAAGACTGAAATATCAAGCAGTTTTGAAATGAGAAAGGACTAAACAAAGAATTCTTGGATGGTTGTTATATTAATAAAACTTAGAGCTTCAAGGATTTTTTTGGTACCTGCATTTTGAACAATCTTTCTTCTGGCGATATCTCAGATTGTTCAGCACTCAACTCCATGACAGATTTTTTCAGACTTTCCACCCAGCAAAAGATGCTCCTGACAAGCTCTTCAAAATGCTTTCTTTCTGCACAATACATCTGAGAAACTCCGAGGCTTTTCTGTACATGACTAAGCAAGCTCTTGTATCTGCTGACAAGCTGGGCAGATTCTAGAACTGCTTCATCATTCAAAAATCCTGAGTTTTTCAAATAATTTGCCCGCCAATCAAAAGAATCAAACCACTCCCTGTAAAAGAATAATAACAATTACATAATGTTTAATTATCACCATTATCCCCCATTACCCATGGCATCATTCAATTAAATGTTATCAAAACTGGGCAAATTGAGTCAATTATCAGCTTCTGTATAAGGCAGCTTCATATCATCTTCTTTTCCAACTGACCAAGGCAAGATGACTTGGTCAGTCATTTAAAATCACACTCTTTGCATTCCTCTGTTTCACCACTGCATCCAACAACCATCTTTTATAGACAGAAATTGACAGCTAAAACTCAAAACCATCGCATTTACTTTTTTACCTATGTGGAGAAATATATGTAAATTTGTGCTCAATTGAAAATACCAAAAATTTGGAAATATATTATAGACAGTAGAAAATATGTGTATTCTACTGAAACTAGCTCTCAAGAGCAAAGCAGAACTAAGTGAGCTACTATAGCTAAGACGAAATACCTTTGTTTGAGTAGAATTGGATAAAAATGCTCAAGTCCTGTCTTCTTTATTTGAATCTCCTGCAGTTTTTCTTCCTGAGTTCTTAGCCACTTCTCTAGACTCTTAAAGTCCTTTTCAAGCCTTCAAAGAAATAGAAAAAATAGTTACAAGAAAATCTTGTTAAAGCTGTTAAAACCATGGAGAGTAACTCTTAATGCTATAAATCAATCTTGATTCTATTTCAACAAGTTTACCTATTAATATTTATTTACTTATTTATTACTGTAATTTGCAGGTTGATAAGTTCTGGAAAGTCTCTAAGCAGCTTACAAATAATATAAAAATAAAATAGAAAGAATAACAAAGAAAATATAACAAAATCCAAAACGCAGTAACAACAGTAAAACTCCCCATCCATTAACACACTGATGAAAAACATGAAAAAATTTCCCTACTACAATGTGGGTGGGGCCCACCATGCCATCAATCCCCAAAGGCTTTCCAGAACAAGCAGGTGTTAGTGGCTTTCCTAAATATCTTTCCTAAATATCTTTTCTACCAATAGCACCTTGGAAGATATTATTTATGTATGTATTAGGTTTGTGAGGAATTTTTTAATACTATTTTACTGTATTTTAATTAATATTTATTTGTTGTTTTTATTGTAAGCTGCCCGGAGTCACTTCCTCGTGAGATGGGCAGTGACCAAATTTGAAAATATAAAATATATGTAAAATATAAATGCTGACAGGAATGGTACTGACCTGACCTCAGGAAGGGCTCATTTCCAAAGGAGAGGGGCAGTAACAGAAAAGACATTAGGAGGAATACATCAGTCTTAACACTCACTTCAGGGGATTGGATCTTGAAGTCCATCTAATCATTCTGGATCACAATATAGGTGAGGCAAGCTCAGTTCATTTGGGCTTCTTACCTAGCAAACTGCTGAAGAAAGATGTGAAGCTCAATTTCTCGTGCCTGACATTTGGAAAGTACTCTTTGCAGTTCCACTTCTTGGTCCCTCACCCAGTTACTCAACTGATTGACATTTGCTTTGGGCAAATAGTTCTTCACCTGGCTCAGAACAGTCTTCACCTCATCAATATCATTGCCCTTGCCTTCAAAATTTAGGAAACTCTGGGAAAAAAACACACAATCAGAGATATATCCAAAATCAGCAACATCTGTTGGCTGATGCAGCTCTTTAATATATGTTTTATGGTTTGGCTCATCTGTCTTTCTATCTAAAACTCATTGATTGTAGCAATAAGTTACAATTTCTGAATAGATTATAGCCAATTGATCAGCACTTACAGTACTGATTTTTCACGCAACATTAATACATGACTTTTCAACAGAACTAAGTTAAACAATGCCAGAACTATGCCAAGAGAAACCATTAATATGTAATAGTGAGAGATCAATCAATCAAAGGCTTCTGTCTCAAAGTAGCCATCCACAGAAGATGATTTCATGTAGCTGTGCATTATTCACTACTCTGATCTTGCCTTCTTCCAATAGGTAACACTACCCTGGATACACATATATTGGAAATAATTGGAGTATTCTGTGCTTCTAATTTAAAAAAAAAATCCCCCATAAAAAAGACTTACCACTCTGTTGCATGACTTACTTGATGCATTTCAAGATTGAAGTGAGTACACATTGTGAGTACAAGATTGAAGGGAATATAAGATTGAAGGGAGTGACAGGTTAAAAATATAATAAGAGGAAAAATGAAATTACAAAAATGATTAATGTGCACTGATTTCCCTCCCTTTCTTACTCCCAGATGAAGTAATACTTTTTAAGAAGGCAGCTGCCATCCACAGAATGCATCAAAAATAAAATTAGGTTATGTCTCAGTCTATTGAAGAGTCAATGGTGTAATCTTATTACGGAGGGAAGTTCCAATAAGTGTTTATAGAATTATAGCCTTACCAGGGTCACCAGACCTGGGCTGCAAAAATCTGGATAACTTGAGATAGCAGCAAAGAATTCAAACTTTCAAGGTATCCTTGCTGCCACTCATGTTATTCAGATTTTGCAGTCCAGATCTGGTAGCCAAACCTTTACACTGCACTCCTAGGCATGTTTACTAAGAATGCTATGAACAATCTCATTTATTCAACACTAAGTTTGTACAGCACTGCAACTTTAATCTAATTAATTCTGCTCTTTCATATTCTAAAAGAACACACATTATGGAATGTGTAAAATATGTCCTCAGTTTTAATCTGGAAAGACTTTATTTAAAATCCTAATTTATTTAAAATCTGAAGAATCCTGAAGGAAAGCAGTCAACATCAATTTACAGTCTCATGCCTTACCATTAATTGATGAATTTTCTCTTCCGCTACCTCTTTTGTTTCTGGAGAGTCAAAGCACTTTTCCAGAGAGATCTGGGCAGTGCTGAACCAATCTTCAAAATGCTTACACTGGTCTGTGGAAAGATTCAGTTTAAAATATGAAAAAAAATATGATTAGTAGGATGAAGAGTCACAGGCCTTCATAATTTGAATCAAAGCAATCAGCTCTATCATTGCTGGGCTCCTCATGGGCACTGGATGAAGAACCTTTACAAAAGCAAGTATCAAATGAGATGGAGGGAATTACATCTTGCTACAGCACAGGGATGCTCCTCAAGAGTTCCACATTTCTGCTACCTTTTTTATTTGCCCAAAGATATTTACCCTCAAGACAGAAAATAGAAAGACACCCGCAGCAGTAATAATGGTAGCAACTGTGGGATTTCCCAGTACCTGGCAGAGCATCACTTTTTTACTGGAGGTGTGACTAAGTCTCATTATCCCACATGAAAAACTATGCTATCTACCTCCTGCCTGAAAGACCAGAGCACTTTTCCCTATAAAACCTGGAATGGAAGCCTATAGCAAATAGGACTCTGGGTCCCAGCATCTCTAGTAGGCAGGTAATACTGCCTATTCCATTGCCATGGAGGAGGAAAAGGCTTGTTGCACTCTTGTCTTTTATATCTGATTGTCTTCAACAAGGGGAGGGCAGAGACAGAAGGATGCTTTTTGAGTTTGGGAATGACACATGAAATGCTTGGACATCCTAAACTACTTCTCTCAGGCTCAGATTACCAAAAAGGAGAAGAAGCAATGAAGTTATTCACTGCATCAGAAACAAGAGTTGGTAAATGATGGTTTTCTTTATCTATGCTTTGCTGAGCAAACCAAAATGAATGGTTCATAAATAATCATAAACTAAGCCATTAACCAAGATTTATAAGTCATATCAGCTGGGAGTTCACACATAGTACCAAGTCTATAACCAAACAAACAATTTTTGGGGTTTAGTAAAGGGCACGTATCCCCAACCATTATCACTTAGTTGCCTTCTCCGAATATGGACAGCTCAATACTGATTTAAGCTATCCATACATGATAGACTACTCTCCTCGTTGTCTTTCCAGATTATCACCTGCACATCTGTTGCTTGGCAGACCACTGACTATTGATCACTTGAACACCTGCTACTTGGTTATGCAAGTAGAAATGACATATCTCAATTTCTGGCTTCTGAACCTACCTCAAGTATTTTATTTGTCAAGAAACAGAAATCTGAGATAAATGGATCATACCCAAGATTACAAATCTTAGACTGAACTCCAAATAGACACTTATTGTTTGGATTCACATATCACATTAAAGCAGTTTAGTTTACATGGTTTTGACTTAGAAACTGTGGTTTGCAATCATGATTCATTATTTAGTATATTATATGACTCCAATCAATTGTAGCTTGTTTTAAAAAATGGTGAAAACTATCATGACTCAGCATGATATATGAACCTAGCCATTAATTTCATGAATTTAATTCTCTGATTTGGATTTTGAAGAAGCAGGATAGAAATATTATTGACCCTTTTGAACTTTGGTGTTGGAGAAGATTCCTGAGAATACAACAGATAGCCAAGAAAACAAACAAACAGATCATAGAACAACTGATTTCAGAATATCCACTTGAGGCACAAAAAACTAGGCTAAAATTATCATACTTTGGACACATAATGAGAAGACCTAATTCTCTTAAGTGTCTATACTGCTGGCAAAAATGGAAGGAAAGAGATGGATGACTAGCAGGAAAGTGGATGGACTTGATAACAGAAGATAATGGGCACACTACTGGAAGATCTGAAGGACCAGTGTGGGACCAGTTCATCCTGGAAAAGGTCTATGTGGTCACTAAGAGTCAACACTGACTTGATGGCACATAATCAGTCAATCAATCAATCAATCAGTCAATCAATCAGTCAATCAATCAATCAGTCAATCAATCAATCAATCCTCTGAGTACAGTTGTAATGTAGTCTGACAGCACCACCTACATACAAGAGGCTGGTTCAGAGAAAACCTAAGATTTGTAGAAATAAATTTAGCCAGAGAATGCTGGTTGATTTCTTTAAAAGGTGGGGGGGGGGGACAATACAGTATACCCTAGAAAATGGCATGATTGAACAAGAATGCACTACATGCTTTGTTGCAAGTATCTTAGAATGAATGTATACTTGTTTATAAACTAAATAAATTATAATTTGCACTATTTATCCAGTGTCCAGGTTATACAGACTAAAATCATCATCAATTATAAGTCAAAGCAATGAAGAAGGAAAAAACATGGGATGCAATGAAATTTGACAGCTACGTTATAGTGAAGAAGCAACATAAACTTTATCCAGCATTAAAAACCTATTGAAAAAGAATCACAACTATAGAATCTAAAGCAAATTGAAAAATGAGGTAGTTATTCCTCCATGTGATCACGTTTAAAGTTAAACGTAAAAACTATATTACTATATACTATATTTACTATAGTATAGTAAATATAGTATATAGTATTTACTATAGTAACTATATTTTAAGTGTAAAAAAATTGAAGTGGTTACTACATGAATGCAGATAAACAGTTTCAATATAGTATTCTATTCCTTTTTGTGACTCTGAATTTCAAAACAATTTTGTGTCAATCAAAGCAAATGTCAATTCAGACTATATTTTTCCCAGTTAAAATTTGCTTTTAAAGAAAACAGGGACTGCTTGAAATTGACAACTTAAGGGAAATAAAAAAAATAATGACATTTCACTTACAGTTCAAGAGAGTGGTAAAGTGATCCTGAAATATTTGTTTTTTTGAATTAAATAATTCAGTGATACTTTTCAGCTGCTTCTTTAATTCAATAACATCAGGGTTCAAATAGCCTGTCCCTTTCTGAAGTAACTTCACATGTTGTTTTTGATGAAGAATCTTCTGATGTATTTCCTTAAATAAGAAAGAAATATCATGTACACGTTGAAAGAAAACTTATATGGAAATAATTTTGGTAAATTTGGACCTAGATAGTCAACAGTGCTCACAGGTCTAGCAAGCAGCACGCAGCAATCCAGACTCAGAGGGGAAAAGGTGGTTTGGAACATGCAGGGATGCTCACATCACATCTGTTAGCACCTTTTTAAAGAACTTGCATCTTTTCCTGGGCTCATGCAGCAGCAGCATTTGATTTAAGGAGATGCCAACAGGTATGATGTGCTCATTCCCATATGCTCTGCATCACTCCTTTCCCTACTGAATTTGAATATAGTCCTAATTAATAGTAATAATATTAATATACCATTGCCAAGGTGACATGTAATGTCAGCACCTGGTGATGCTGACAGAAGTAAAAGTAATTAGAATTTGTTTTTAATCAGTTTTTGAAGCTAGTTACAAATCCCACATTAATGTTGTGTTCACATATAATGCTAAGCAAGGATTATTTCAAACCAAAACTTGCTGAGCAAGTTACAATGACCCAACTATGACATAACATTATTTTAAAACCACATTATGGCTTAGCATTGTGTGTGGATCCTGTCCAAGTATAACTGGATTGTCCTAAGCCTATATAAAGAGAGAGTTGTTTTTATATGTGAGCCCACCCACTGTAGTTTAATGTTATGTACAAACTCAGTCTCTGACTCCTGGTTCATGTTAATCATGGTTGAGATTGGCTCTGACAAAAATTTTAACAATTGTGAAAGGCAGCAGGGGTGAATCTATGGGAAATCCACATGGAAAAGAACAATGGAGCTCCTAATTTTCTGATCCCACTCAAAATCCTGTGATATCCTCACCAACTATTGAAATTCTGTCACTATAAGGGCTGTTCAAAATATTATCTTCAAATGGAATGTCACGGAAATTCATCTGTATTGCCCAACAAAATAAAGAAGCTTCCGTGTGTGTTGTGTATGTCTGAAGTACCTCCAATTTTGTAAAAATCTCCAAGGTATCAGAGGGAGATAAATCTTCCAGAAGTGATTCTGTCATTCCAATTTGAGTCTTGGCAAGATCAAGGTCTCCTTTCAGCTCTGTTGTATTGCCATTGGCTTCAGTGAGTACTGACTTATTTGGTAAATGCTTTCTTATTAGCTCCATTTTGTTCAAAAGAGAAGATTTAATAACCTGAAAATGAGAAATACAGATGCCAATTTAGGAGCTCTCCACTATTTTAGTAGAAGTTGGAGAGAAATATTGCCTTCTGTTTAAATTACAATTTCCTTCTTTTTTGAAAGTACAGATAATGCATCTCAGATTTTTAGGTGCACCCAAGATTTCTTTAAAAAGGTTGAAACTAGTTGTTACAGAAAAAAGCATTCCATATTCAAATTCTTTTCTGTTTTCCCATTATAGCTAGTAACAGTGTCTACATAATAATATTACAACATAAGTTTCCTTCACTCCAACACGAAATCTTATCATTTAGTGAGCTCTGTTTCAGAGCATGAATCAGAGAAACCAGTTCTAATTAAAATTACCAAGTTTGTTTGCATAACAGTATGTCTGGAACAATGCTCCATTGTAACATAGCATTCAAAGGGAGGTGTTGACAAGCAGCATCACAATTCATTGAGGGCAACAGTCACTGCAAATAGCAACAGTACCAACACTGATATAATACAACTGAAGATGTCACCCAGCTGGGTAACGAAACGTTTGCAAGAAAGCCACCAAGCTCAGAGAACCCCAAGGACTCCACAGTAGCGAAAGTGTATGTGCTTCAGGACAGAATGTCTCTTCCTCCAGAAAAATAATTTCTATCATGCACTGCCACTACTTGTTGAAATAATTTTCCCATAGTTAGGATATTTCTAGCATTTTTTTTTTTTTTTACATTCTTGAGAACATCCCTGAAAGTATTTCCCTTGTTTCATGGCAGGGAAAGGATGTTGTAAAAGTAGTGCAGAAATTTTGTTTCAATCCCCCCTCCCCAAAATGTGCAATTTAGGTGCTACATATCTTTATTAGTGTTACTCTTTTTCCTGACATGCACACATAGAGAGGATTTGGGGAAGTTTTCCCTTCTACACAGATGCTCAAATACAGTGGTACCTCGGTTCACAAATTTAATTCGTTCCGCGACTCTGGTTGCGACCCGAATTGGTCGTGACCCGAATCAAA